GGTTGATCGGTAGGTGCTGGGTTTTTCCGTGCGGGTGGGTGTGCAGTGAGGGGTCGGGGTTTGTCTTCCTGGCTTTGCGTGCTGTCCCGTCCTACCCACCGTGGTGGGACAGTGGAGGAGGGCGCTGTGAGGCGGGAGGTCCTTGGGGTCGGGCCTGGGCCTGTACTGTTGGCTGGGCCGGGCCGGGCCGGGGAACCCCCGTTCGGCCGGTTGGTCCTGGCCGCCCCCGGGGCTGCCTACTTTTGGGGGAGGTGAGGTGGCAGGCTGGGCCGAGAGGTGCCCTTGTGCTCCCTCCCCTTCCCCCGGGTGTTTGCCGACGAGCAGCCAGGGTCGGGTGAACGTCCTGCGGGAGCCGGGCAACGTGGGACAGTTTTTTTGGAGGACGTGGTGGTCGTTGGTTGTTTTCTCTCCTCGGGGCGAGGAATCCTTCAGGAACAGGGGAAAAGCTTACAGTTTTCTACATTGGAACTGTTTTTTCTGGTCATCCCGGACAACACCCATGGAGACCTCCTAGGTGACTAAGTCTGACTTCCTGATAAACGAATGGGTGCAAGTCTGCCTGCTCCCAGACTTATCAAGTTCCTGCATAAGCAAGGCCGCATGTGCTTGCTTTCTCCTCTCCTCCCACTGACAGGGCTTTCGGAGGCTGGCTTTTCACTCTCAGAAATTGCCTTAATTAAGCTATGGAGAGTGGAAATGAGAGCGCTTGTTCATGTGCCAGTACTGACCTTTGATTTACATAGCTTATTTTCCCTGCCTGGTGTTTGTGTCATGCTGATAACTTTAGAGATTGCTGTCATCTTCCCCCGTCAGGCTTTTTTCTGCTTGAATTCACTTTTTTTTTTCCTTTCACTTTTTCTAATTGGCTCTTGTAGATAAGTAGCAAACTTTTGTTTATAATCTTTTCTCTCTGGCTTCTCCTTTAGTTTATGTGGAGAGTTATGTATTTCTGGTCACCTGCCTTCAGGGGAGATGGAACATCATGAACATCCTTGCTTGCACTGTAAATGCTGCTCCCGACTTTGTGTTTTCTTTTTTGCAGCTGCATCATGCTGGTGTCTGTAGGCTGTCTTTGAACAGCTAAAGCTCTCTAGCTCCTGCATGTTTCCTCCATATCTTAAAAGCTGAATAGACAATGAGCTTTCACCTAGACTGTGTTAAATTCGGAGAAGAAAAATTAGCCCCAGCAAGACTGAACAATGATCTGAGAAAATTATTATAACCACCCTTAGGTGGTTGCTCAGCCTCATCAAAGAGGCAGAGCTGCTCCAAACCAATTTAACTTAAAACTTCTCTGTATTGCTACTGGTTTTAGTGCTGTCAGTTGATAACCTAAGTGATACGGGTCTGTAATCTATCGCTAGCTCTCTTACAAGAGAAGTGTGAGGGGACTGACAGTGCCTCAGTCTGTAATATAAGTCAGTGGTGTGGTGTAAGTTTCTGCTGCTGCTGAAATTTAGGCTCGTGACTGCAGGATATCTGCTTCAGTAGGCAGCAAGGAAGGTGAACAAGTGCAACTTCATGTTTTATAACTGTATTGAGAACACTTGTTTCCTGTCTTTTCCTCAGCTGTTTTCCAAATACCTTTCTTTTCTAAGGGAGAACTCTTATAAAATCTTCTTAGTTTGCTAATGGCACATGAAACACTCCACAGAGCAGTGCCTAGAAACTTTTCATATCTTAAAATCTCACTTGTGCTCTCCACCTTCAATATGTCTCAATCTTTATGTTGCAGGGTCTTATTCTCTGAAACAGCTGCTACCTGCCAAATAAAAATTCTGAGGCCGCCCAATCCATGAGTGGGCATCGAAGCATAAAGAGGCGATGTGGGGAGTCACACCTGGAATCCCCCGCGGGCTGCGGTCACGGTCCCGCTGCTGGATGTGTGTTAAGCAAACTAGTTCAGTTGCCTACACCTCCTTTGTCAAAGCACCAGCTGAAACGGTTAGAAGAACACAAATATCAGAGTGCTGGACGATCCCTGCTTGAACCCCTAATGCAAGGTTACTGGGAATGGTTAGTTGGAAGAGTTCCAGCCTGGATTGCACCAAATCTGATCACCATCATTGGACTGTTAATAAATATATTTACAACTCTGCTATTAGTATATTACTGCCCAACAGCTACAGAACAGGTGAGTTACGCACCTCTGACAATCTTTCTTTGTGGTTACTGTGATCTAGAAGCAGCTGGCACTGTTTTCTGGTGGACTCTTGTCTTTGTGTAGAGGTGTTGCTCATTTATCAACCCACAGTTCTCCTAAAGTTAGGCTCATCTCTCAATGTTTGTAACGTGCGTGCCCCTGTATGAGTGCCTGGGGGCAAAAAGAGCACATATGATTCTGGGGTTAGCACGCTGCTTGCTGAGTGGTTCCTCTGGCCAATGTGCACCATGTGAAACGGCATCTAGTGCTGAAATAGCTGTTTGGACACAGCCGTGAAGGACCTGCTGTGTGAAAGCAGCAGCCCCGCAAGGCTTGAGTGCACGTGCAGACAATGAGGAAAGGGGTTTGCAGCTGTCTTGCATGGCCTGTTTAGTTTCTCTGCTTGTGACTGGGTTAGTCGCCTTCAAGATTCTGATCTGAGGTTACCACACAAGAAGCACAAGGTGACTCGATTGGCAGTGGGCTGAGTCTGCCTACGAGTCCAGCTAGAGTTGCAACACAGCGAGGAACTCGAGCTCGGCCAAGGGGCTGAGCCCTGTGGTGGTGCAGCTGGAGGGGTTGAGGCTTGCTGCTGTGACTGAACCCAGCTGACTCAAAGGAACACCTTTCTTCATCCGGCTGGGGCCCTGGCAGTTTGCGTGGCCAGGCAGCTCGGATCGGGACCTTGCGTACAGCGTGGTATGAGCTGTGGGAACACAAAGTTGTCTTCTTGAGCAGCGTGCTGCCCGAGTAGTCCATGCTGTGAGGAGGCTGGATAGAAGTCTATTTTATCTTGGTTCTGAATGCACTAAAAGCTCAGGAGAACTGCCTTAACTTCCTGTAATTCCTGGTTCCAGGGCTATGAAAGTCTCTTTACAAGGCATTTCAAGTCAGTAGTTTCAAATACCTCTCTCTTGCCAGAGTTACCTCATAAGGCACTTGAAGACTTTCACTTTTGTGCTCTGGAGAAGTTTTGTCACTGAATGTTGGCTCTTAAAAGCTGCTTATGTCTCTGTGCACTGAAAAAGGGAATTATTTTGTACAGAAAAATGTATTGCATATCAAATAGCAGAAGACTATCTCATGAGTTCTAGCTTTTAAAATATCTGAACTCCATCATAACCGAGGCTTCTCCCAAACTGAGCTTGGCAAAATGATTCATGTCAAGCAGCATCAGCTTGTTTCCACCCAGACCCTAAAAAACCCCCACATAGGTTGGCATATCTACACTCGGCATCCATGTTCCACGTGTGAGGTAGTAAAGGGATGTTTGCCTCTCCCAGAGATCTCTTGAAATAGTTTCCCAACAACATGTAGAATTTTGCAGGTGTGAGATAAAAAGGGAATGTGGAGTTTGAGCAGTGAATACTTAGAGCAGCTCCTTCCTTTTTCAGACTTTGGCATTGTTACATCTTGGCTTTAACTTGGCGCTTACTCAGATAACAGTGTTAGATAGGGCTGGGACTCTGAAATCCAGTTTGATAGACTTCAGCCTCTCCCTGTTTTGGCAACTTAGCAGCTAGTGTAGTCCACTGAACCAGAGCGTGATTTAAAATTTAGAGCACAGTTGTGTTTTGGTAATGAAACTTCTGCAATAAGCACTAAGCTGTACTGGGAGCATCCGAAGGTCATAGTGTTAGCTGTAGTCTGCTGTATTAAAACACTGTGTTTAACAGTTTGAGAGTTCTTTGTGCTCAAGTGAGGTTGTCTTCTCACTTCAGCTGAAAAATAACTTTCTGCTGAGGTAGCTTGCAGCCTGCTCTGATTTGCCATATGGCACTGCAGCCCTGTGTGCTGGCACGACGGGACGATGCCATCTCAGTGGCAGAGCTGTGAGCTTGTGCCTTTTAAGTGTCAAGTAGCTGTCTGGGAAGAAAATGGGGCTTTGAAATCCAGAAAGAGAATATTTTTTTCTGAAAGTACTATTGCTTTCAGATGTAAATTGTCTCTTCCTGGTAGCTCAGTCTTAGTTCTGCTTTTTTCAAAAGCAACTTGTCTCTTCCTGTTGATGAAAGGTGTAGCCAAGGGGACGTGCTATTGCTGAGAACTTCAGTGGTAGCCGAAAAGAAAATGAGATAAAACAGTTCTACTGCCTGTTTGCTTGGGGGACCTCAGCTGGCAAAGTGCTGGGCTATGGAATGGTACCTGGATCTTTGGGATTTTTTATTTAAAAAAAAAAGAAACGATAAGAGGGAGCTGCGACATCTTATGCAGATCCAAATAATATCTAAGTGGAAACATCTACACTGGTAATGAAAGTAGCATCTAAAAAAGGAACCAGCAGCCTGTGTTTTAAAGCTTCTAGGGGAAAAATTGCATGAGCCAGAGGGTAACTTAAACATTGTGTATAAAATCAATAGGTGAGACATGGAAACAGTGTTAAGGGATGGAATTATGTAGCGTCACAACCTTGTCTAAATGTGATCCCATGCCTTTGGGTGACACCTGCCCATCCTTTGTATAGGTGCATTGCTAAAAGCGGAGCACGGTGCCAGCTTTTGAGGCAGGAGGAACGGTATTAGTAAAATGCAGCAGCAGGAACAGTGCAAGCTGTAGAAAGAGTATAATGAAGTTGATGTCCTACAAATGAGTCATGGTTGTGTAGACCAAAAGAATCTGGACTCAGAGCTTTATGAGAGGCAAGTCAGCTTGATTAAGCCACTTAGCTGTATTTGGACTTCACTGGCGTGGTCTGTAAAGTAGAGCTGCTCATAAATGCTCACTTCTATAAAGTGTGTCAAATGTGAAGATGGCAAAATATCCAATAATAGCTGTTTTATGGATGTGTGAACTGAGACAGAGTAATGGCAACCCGCTGGCTTTTGTGGTAGCTTTTTTTCAGTACCTGAAGCACTCAAATTGTAGTCTTGGGTCCAGCAGGGATTTGGCATCACTCGTTCTTCTGTACAAATAAAGCGGTGTACAGGGTGTGAATATTAAGGGCTGCTACCATAGATTTGGCAAAGCTGCTGTTAGCTGGTAATAGCAAAAGCTGTTGGTGGTGAGGGTGCTGCACTGCAGAGCACTGAAGCTTTACAGGTCTCAGGAAAGTAATAGCTGAACTTGACCCCTGCAAGTTTGAGCCCTTTGCAGTGACATAGTTCTCAAACGGTACTGCAGGCTGCTTGTACCCTGTACTTGGCAGCGTTCTAGTACGCGACACCTCACTGAGCTCAGTGTTTGACATGGTTGCGTGTTTTGGGGACTAAGAAAGTTGTTGAGTTTCTAAATCAGGCAACTTACAGATGCCCCTCCAGGAAAGAGAAGCAGGACAAGAACTTAATTGTGCATCACTCTGCATGTGCACTGCTGTTTTTCCAGTGTACCTGCTTTAGAAAAAGTGTTGTACCTATTAATCTAAGCTAGTAATTGTTGTCGCTGTTTTATTTACATTCCACATGTCATAATCCCCTCTGCCTACCCCTGCAGGGACCCACTACTGAAAGGTCCATGTGGAACGGTGTGCAAATGGAAAGCTACTGTATGAGAGCGTAAGACAAACCAACTTAAGGATTTTTTAAGTGTTTTTAAAAAAATCCTTTATTTTCATTTACTGTTTCTTCCTTAGGCACCACCCTGGGCATACATTGCTTGTGCATGTGGGCTCTTCATCTATCAGTCTCTGGATGCTATAGATGGGAAACAAGCAAGAAGGACAAATAGCAGTACTCCGTTAGGAGAACTCTTTGATCATGGCTGTGATTCCCTTTCCACAGGTATTGTAATTTTTAATAGAAGGGTGAAATAACCCTATTTCAGGGGTCAAATCTAGAGTACAGAAAAATGCTGCTTTACTGAAGATGAGGGCAACTGATACTGCTGAATATATAGCTTTTCAGTCAACCTTCTTTCTGTAGACAGTGCTCTTGGTCAACTGAATGTCTTCTCTTGTATAACACTGAAAAAAGCACTGAGCATGTGATTAACTCGATCTGAGCCAGCAGTCTTCTGTGTATGCTTTATGTCTTGGTCCTAAGCACTTTCTGTAAGAAGTTGCCAAAACGCTCTTCTATATAATCTATATAAGGCGATTGCAAGACAGGTGTGAAGCCTAAACAGTGGGACGGTAGAAGTCTGAGTTTAACGTTAGAATCAGCAAGATCAGTTTCTTTCTAGGTAGGTAGAGGTCACTGAGCCAGCCTGAGGTTTAACCCCATTGCAAAACAACAATCAGATGCTTTTGGTTACGTAAATTCTAAACCTCTTATGCTTTAGGTTTTTATGAATGCTTTATCAAAGTTGTGTACTTAGAGTGGAGGAGAAAGCGTGGGTCAGTGTGGGACTTGGCGGTGGCAGCAGCTCCTGCCGCAGATTGGCACTCGGTTGAAGCAAGCAGAGGGGTTCCTGGGCCCCAGGGGGCAGAGAAGGAACCC